GTGCTGTGATCCTTAAATGTTAAAAAAAATCAGCATTTTCATATGATCGAGTATTTCGATTACATTTGAGCATTTTTTTAAAAAAAACTCAGGTAATAGTTACATACTACTGCAATAACATTCCTCTGCTGTACAAGTTAAATGATTTTTAAATTTGAAGTTTTAAATTAAATGATTTTTAAATTTAAGAAATGAGCATTCTAAGAGTTACATACAGAATAAACCCGTAACTTTGTTGAATGTAACGTGAGGTGTCACTGCTGCTTTAAAATACCTTCGAAAGTAAAACGAACAAATATCTTTCAACACATCCAGGTTCACAAGTCTCAAGGAAATCAAATGTCAGAAAGTTCTAGAAAGCTGTGGCAAGCATATATACACTTTTCTTATGACTTTATGACGTTCCACGTTCGAGAAGCTGTTAACTTTCAGTATCAGTTTATTTGCACGTCAACTTTATCCTCCCCAAAGATCACTCTGGATACAATTCCCCTCTGATCTCCAAAAAAATCCCTGTGCACACCATGTTCCTTTGGCGACGGCAATGATCTGGCTCTGGGATGCCAGACGTGCCCGTCCCATGCTGCAGAGATCTGCAAAGAGGAGGGGCCATGAGTGGTGTCAGCTGATGACATCAACGCTTTTTCTCTCGTGAACTCAGCCACATTCAGAACTCCTGTAGCAGGAGAATGACACAGAGATCAAGGGGAAGACCACGTGTGCACTAATCTGTAGGCGGTGGCAGCTACATTCTCCAACCTGGCCTGAAAAACAGAAAGGTAAATGAAAACCGTTCACTTAACAACAGATCGGCAGTAATGTTCCTCATGAATCCATGAGAGTGTCTGATGCCGAGTAGCTAACAGCAACTGCTGCAGTTGGATGGGATATTGTGGTGTTTATTGGCAATTAGGCTTCTTGCTGAGCTGGTCTCTTCAAATCCCTGATCTGTTCGACTAAAAAGGCCTTCTCATCATTGAACCGCTCGTCTTCCATCCTGTCGTTCTGAAACTTGCTGAGGAACTCGATGAGTTTGTTCTGGTTCACGAGGAGGATGTCTAGAATAGGCTGTGTCTTGTTGGGGTTGGCCATGAACACCTTGAACACGTGAAAGGCATTAAACTGGATGTTTCGGCTCTCGTCTCAGAGAAAGTTCATCATTAGCTTGAGGTTCTCAGGTTTGCCAATGGAATTTGTCGTGATTGTGAAGTTCACCAAGAAGCTGAAGTGACCATCTCTTTGCCACATAACTTTCCGAATGAAGTAGCTTCTTATATTCACTGAAAAAAATCTGTCAAAATGCTGTTCCAAAAATTCTACACTGAGCAATTTATGTCTTGTGAGTAAATCCTTGAATGAAGGAAATGCTTCTGAAACTATGTCAAATGTATGTAGCAAATGCTTCTGAAACTGTGTCAAATGTATGTAGCAAATACAACTGAAACTATGTCAAACATTTCTGAAGAAATCATAAAACTGTTCCGATCACAAAATGATTTTTGCAAGTGGCTCGTGTCTGATGCATTCTCCCAACATTATCCCACAACTGAAAGTTACTTCTGGAGACTCACACCCTTTCAATAACATGAACAAAATATTCTGTTGTGTGTAGATGTATTCAACAGCAGGAGTTCTTGCCCCAATGTGCCTTCTGAGAATATGGTTGAAAATTTGAGCCACATCTTTTTTACCCTCAAAGCCAATGAGCCACCGGAGTGCTAAGGAGTCCACTATTGTACAGTTCTGGAGCCAGCTGAGCTACGACTGCTGTCTGAGGTTCTTTTTCCTGTGTGCCATACAGAATCTCTTTCAAGGCAACCAACTTTTTGGAAGCATTTTTGGTAACCTTTTCTGCTTTTTTGTCAGAAATGTCTTGCTTTTCCAAAACTGCCAAGCTCTCCTTCAAGCTCTTCACAATATCTGCCGGAGATTTTTGAGACTTTCCAAACGGGAACCACATGAAGGCAGCACCAAAGGCTTCCACTGCGCTCTACCTGTTACTAGACGGGGCTGGGCCGGCCCAAGGAGCTCCCTCACTGCGTTATGGCCGCCTCAAGGCTGCTTGCTCGATCCCTGCGGTGCGCGCCCACCTGAGCGCTCTGGCCCTCCGTTGTCCTCCGCCCACAGCTGCTCCTGGCAAAGGGCTCCCGCGGTGGCCCCAGGCACTACTGTGCTCTGACTTTGGCTGTGGCTTTGAGGCCCGGCACTGCCTTCGCCTATGAGATCACCTCAACTTCTCTCAGTCCACTTTGTTATAGAACCCAGGACCACCACTAGAGGTGGCACCACCCACAATTGGCTGGGCCCTTCGCCATCAGTCACTAATTAAGAAAATGCCTATAGCTGGATCTGACGGAGGTATTTTCTCAACTGAGACCCCCCTCTCTCTGATGACTCTAACTTGTGCCAAGTTGACATTAAACTGGCCAACACAGGAAGGAAAGAAATGGGAAGCAGGTAATACCTAAGCTTTTTGGCTTAAGTGATGTGAGAATCCCTGGTTCCCCGTTTACAGGCAGAGGGCCTAGGTTGGTCCCAAAGAGGTTCCCTGTCTGTCCAGGATCTGCAGGTGCCCTTGTCTCTTACAATCCCTCCTCCCTCTCTTCAACAGGACTCCCAGAACTTGGCCCAGAACTTGGCTGTGGATCTCTGCATCTGCTTCCATCACTGGATGAAGGCTCTATGATGACAATTAGGGTAGTCACCAATCTGATTAGAGTTCTGGAACCCTCTCCACTATTGCTAGGAGTCTTAGCTGGGGTCATTCTTGTGGGTTCCTGGGAGTTTCCCTTAACCCAGCTTTTTCAGAAGGGTGCTAGGAATCCAAATCCAAGTCCTCAGGCTTGACTTACTGACTGAGCCCTCTCTCCAGCTGTGTGTTGATACAGCAGCTGATGTCCTGGTGGTGTAATTGTGGTGACCCTGATTAATCTTAGGATGTGAGAGCCCATGGACTGAACTGTATCATCTTATGCTAATGATGAAAAGGGTACCCAGGGAAAACAGAAGATGGGCTTGCCTGGCATCACTGTCACGCTGTGGGTGGCACCAGGACAACCAGGCAGCTGGGGTCAAACTGAGGCACCACTGGAGGCTGCTGCATGCCCAGCAGGTGAGGTTTTAGCAAGAAGTGCACCACAGAGATGACGACGTCAAAGCTCTCCCAAGACATCGGTCTCCACTGAGCTCCAGACTGGGAGTCCCCTGTGGTTGTGTTGAACTTGTCTGTTGAATTGAACCTACTGGGTTTCATGGTTAAGTTGATGAGGACGACTGACCAGATCTCTTTCTCAAGAGGGCACCAGATCTCATTACAGATGGTTATGAGCCACCAAGTGGTTGCTGGGAATTGAACTCAGAACCTTTGGAAGAGCAGGCAGTGCTCTTAACCGCCGAGCCACTTCTCCAGCTATCTCTGGCAGCACACATACTATTCATGCCTTCACACAGGTACAAATTAAGTAACATCTATTTTATTAGATGGTAGATGGGAGCCCAGGGATTCACAGGAAATGCCCAGGTATGCATCAGCCACCTAAGATACTTCCAAAACAGTGGTTCACCCTGACTATACACTAGAACCAGCTAGGAAGTTACTCAAAGACAGGTGCCAGTCTCTTAGGCCCTCAGTCACATCCCTGAGGAAAAGGCTAATGGGTGTCATGTTGCAATCATCAGTAATAGCTAGGAACTGACCTGTTAAGAGGCCGACAGAACATACAAACCTGGGGCAGCGAAGTCTCACAGGCTGTGACCCCTGACATTCACATGTGTGCCACGGCACACACCACCTCCCCCAGATAGTAACTCTTTTATAACTTTACATTTAAAAAAAGTCTTGGAATGGGAAAAAAAAATCTATCGATTTTCTAATCCCGAGTACTTCCCGCCGATGAAATACATCACCACTGCTGAATTCATAACAAAGCTCAAGGGTTTATTAAGAATTAAAAATACTGTAAATAAGCCATACAGTTCATTTCACAGTAAACTAACAAACCTTGTTTTTCTTTACAGCTTTTCTTTTTTTTTTAAAATTTTTTTTCTTTCCTTTATTTTTGGGGGAGTGAGGGTGGGGGAGTGGGGGGGTGGGAAGGGCAAGGCAGCCACCAGAGACAAAACAGCCCAAGGGGCAAGGGTGCCGCCAAGAACAATGACAAATGCAGCACACGTGATCCTCACTGACAGATGGGGTCAGGCGGCAGAGGCCTCCTCGGGAATACTGTGATGACATAAAGGATCTGGCCTCCATTTCCCAGGGAGAAGGTACAGCTCGGACATCACAACACAAAGGTGTCTCCTCTAGGACCCCACACTCACCTGGTTACCCCCTCTCAATGTGCTGACGCAGGTGGGTCACCAGGAACAGAAGGGCCCTGGGCCTCAGGGCGCTGTTTCTCACGTTCGGAGCCTTCTGAGTTTGCATAGTTACCCTTGCTATGGCTAGACTCAGGATGGGAAAGGGACCGCGCCCCTGAGAGTGACCCTCAAGCAGAAGGCTCTGGGGGCGTTCTCCTCCTTGCCTTCAGAGCTCACATCTATGAGTTTTTACCACTTCTAAGTGGAAGACAAGAGACATAAAAACTCTGGCTGAGAGTATAAAAAAAACTGTAAAATTAATTTTCCTTAAAGACAATTAAAAAGAAAAATGCCTGCCCCCCCCCATTCTTGTTGTTGCTGTGTTTTACTATAAATTGGTCAGCCAGACAGATTTTTTTTCCTTTTTTTAGATTAATCTGCTCCCTGTTAATCCCCAGTTAAAGCCAGCGTCCTCTCCCTAACAGTAGACACACCCCTTCTAAAAGTCACCTTTTCTGCACAGGGATGGGCCTTCAGGAAGCCAAACCAAAAGCAGAAACAGGATTTCAGAAACCAAGGGTGAGTGGCCAATAACCGCACTTAAATGAACAGGGCACAGAACCCGTCTTCTACTGCTTTCCGTGGGGGGAGGGGCAACACGCTGGTGGGAGGGCACCCGGGAGGAAACAATCGGCCTTCGCTTTGTTTTTGGTCGTAAGAAACTGGACTATAAATCTGTGCCCGCCCTGCACACGCAGTTCATTTAGATCTTTTCATGAATCTTTTCAACTTTCACAAACAGCCTATCGAGGTCGTTCCTTAGGTCATCCAGCAAGCCCTTGGCCGACTCCAGGCTGTTCTCATTCCTCTCGATTTTGACAGAGTAGGCAACCAGACTGTCCACGGCAGTCCTGAGCATTTTCAAGTCCGACTCCACTTGGCTCACGGAGGATTTCAGGCTGTCCAGGGAAGAGAGCCTGTCCAAGACGTCCTGGGGAGGCGTGGCCTGGGCTTGGTCCTGGCTGAGCAGCGAGTGTACCTGTTCTCGCAGCGACACCACGGTGCTGGGGAGTTCGCCCACGCTGCGCTGCAGCTCCTTCACGTCGCTGGCCATCGTCAGCTGGGCCTCCCCCAGGCTCCTCACTGTACTGGCCAGATTGGAGGAGGACCCCAGGCTCTCCAGCTGCTCCTGCAGCATAGCCAGACGCTGCTCGTACTCCTGGCTCTTGGATAGGAGCGACTCCAGACTCTCGGTGTGGCGTGCAGAAGCCACCTGCATAGAGTACACCCCGTCCTCCACATACTGGAGCCTGGCACCTAGGCCCTCAATCTGCCTCTGGAGTTCATCCACCGCTTTGGAGTCTTTAAAGACGATGGCCTCCTCTGCCCCATGGGCCTGGGCCTTCAGCTGCTGCAGCTCCCCTTCCAGTCTCCTGATGTCCTCTGGGAGGCGCGAGGAGGACTCTTCAGATCGCAGAAGCTTCTCCGTGAGGGCCTCCAAAGCCAGGCGTTCGGAGTCGGCCGCCTGCTTGAACGCCTGTTGTTCCTGCTTGAGGCTCACTAGCTCCCGGACCTCTGTGTAGACATCAGACTCCATGGTCTGAAGGGAACTCTGCAGGGCTTCAATGTCCCTCTCCCTGGACTTCACAGAGGCCTGTACCTCCTTCAGGGCTTTCTCCAGAATCTTCAGGTCCTGACTGCGATCGCCCTTAGATTCTTCCAGAGAGGCAACCTTCATCTTGACGTCATTTATTTCCTTCTGGCTCCTCTTCTGAACGTCGGTGAAGATGGCGATGTTGTCATTGATGGACTTGGTGAGCTCCGTCAGGCGCTCCTCCACCGTGTTCTCCAAGGACGTGAAGTCACGCTCTCGGGCATCCTTTACCACGTGGATTCCGTCCGACAGGTCTTTGAGGATCTCGTTCTGCAGCTTCTGCAGGACCTCGCTGATACGGTTGATCTCGCTCTCCCCTTCCTTCACAGCTTTCTCTGTGAGGTCCTGTTTATGCTGCGAGCTCCTCAGGATGGATTCAAAAGTCCCAAACGTGGCTTGCAGAGACTGTACCTACGAGCAAATCCAGATGTTAGCCACAGAGAACAGTTTCTGGCGTGTTGGTATACCCTTCTGTGATTCTCTGCACTCTGTTGTACCCTCCCCGTCAGCACTCTCCTTCCAAAGGTAGTTATGTGGTGGTTGCTGTGGTAACAAGTAGGCTCATTACCCAACCCGACCAGGCAACAAGGTACATCTGCCTCTCATTGCCTATCTCTCAGCCAACATGCCGATCCAGGGATGGACAAGAGGTAGGCAGGCTGATGAGGTGAGCAACACCTTTCCCCACTGGATGAGGGAGGCCTGGTGCTGCTCAAACCAACACCCAGTAATGAATGGTCAATACCCATTCATCAGTCAAGACAACACGCAGGGAGGCAGCTGAAACAAGGCCAGAACCCATTCTGAAGACGTAATTCAATCCCTGAATACAGCTAAACCTGCGAGTCTACTCTTGAGTTTTCTAGTTTGGGTCAATCAGCATTCTCGTCATCCTATTCTCTCTTCTCCTCGCCCCTCTCTCTCTCTCCCCTCCCTCTACTATTTTAGGGTTGGCTTTGTAGCTCTTGCAACTGAGCATCACACATTTTCTTAGGAAAGAACCTGAGGCACAAAGCAAAGAGACCAAGTCCAGGTAACATCCAGCTATGTGGTTTTTGGCGAGCCATTGTCCACCCTGGATGTCAGGTCCTCCCTGGACGTCACTGCCCTCCCTGGACGTCAGTGACCTCATTTGAAAGCACAAGCAGCAGGCCGGACGATTCCTTAGGGCGCTCTGGCTTTTGTGAACATGCTGTGACCTTCTTTGCTGCTACACATTCATTCTACACAGACTCCATTCTGAATGAGGCACAGCGCAGGCCTCCTAACAAGCGGGCCTAACACACTGAGCGGCTGTGCTGATCAAAAAGGTAGGCCTTATCCTGATGTGACACCTATGTCATTGGTGGGGGGGCAGTGAATTTAAGGAAAGGAGAATAAGAAGGCCAGCAGTGTGGCCCTGATTCTGTAAGTCCCTAGGCCCAACTCCCCATTTCTGGAACATGCAAAAGAGACTCATTATGAGGTTATTACCAGATAAACCCAGTATGGAGGGGTCTGCAGGATTAATGTCATTAATAGTCAACAATTAAATGTATTTTTTAAAAAGGAGGAAGACAGATATTCTAGATTAAACTAAATTTAAGATTTTTCAGGGGCTGGAGAGATGGCTCAGTGGTTAAGAAAACTGTCTGCCCTTCCAGACGTTCTCGGCTTAATTCCCCTGCAATCACATGGCTGCTCACAATGTTTGTAACTTTAGTTCCATAGGATCTGATATCCTCTTCTGGCTTCCTCAGGCACCAAGCATGCACACATACATACATGCAGGCACAAAACTAAACACAAAACAAAAGTAAATCTTGAGGGGGGTGGTTCTCTTGATTTAAAAACAGTACAAGAGTGTGAAATCGGGTAAACACACACACACATGGGCTGGGATTGGGCATATAGCTTAGCTGGTAGACTGCTAGAAGCCTTCACAAGCTCCTAGATTGACGTCCAAGTACTTAATAAATTGGGTCTGGTAAGCATATGCCTATGAGGTGGAAGTAAAAAGGTCAGAAGTTCAAGGTCATCCTAGGCTACACAGTGAGGCTGAGGCTGGTTGGGACTACATGGAACCCTATCTTACACAAAAAAAAAAAAGTGAGAAAAAATAAATACGATAAAGAGCCATACACCTGACTCACAGTATTGTCACTGTGAGAACTAAGTGAGTTTGAACACATAAAGCGCTAAACTGTGCCTAAACTCTTGGATGCTCAGTGCATAGTCGCTATGACCTTCATCACGGTTTGGCTTTATCCTAAACTCCTCCGACACCTGGGGAATCCTAGCAGTACCTTCCACTCAACGCCAAAAGATGAGAGAAGCTAAGGGCACAGCAAGGATGCACGCAGGACACCCTAGCCACAGAGCACGTCTCCCAATCTCTAGGAATTAAAATCATATTCACGTCCCACATCCCAAATCTGTGATTTTTTGTTGTTGTTGTTGTTGTTAAAGACAGATTAGAATGGGGTTCTCGAGGACTCTGGAAAGTAGACAATTTCCCTCCCCAGCCAAATACAACCTGAGACATAAAGAATACGGAGAGAAGGCAGGAGAGAGAGGTGACCTCTAAAACTAGGTTAGTAAATCACAATGCCTTCCTGTTCTAAGCATAGTACTTAAAATAGAAGCATGAGTGGGTGCGCCCAGCACCTGCAACATGGCAGGGCCACTTTCCGTGTTTTCTCAATGGGCCAAAGAATGAGGGAATTCAGAGCAATGCCTGATAAAGTTTGGGCGGGCCTGGCTCCTATTTAATCCCAGGTTGGCTCTTTACCAACGGGTAGAAGGTGATTTGGATCAGAAACCATTCCAACCCCCAAAGGAAGCCAGCGTCTCCCCTACTGAGGGCGCTGTAGGTTGTTCGTCTTTGTGCACAAAGCGTTCATAACAATTAATATGCACTTGATGTCTGCTCTTCTGGAATGCGTGAGAGATGTCCACCATGTGGTAGGCGATACGCGGCGTGGAAGTGGTGGAGCCAAGCATCAGAATCCCAGAACGTCTGATTTTAGGAGCTGAACTATTCCCAAGGATGCCTAGAGGGTTGCCACCACCGAAAGCAAGTCCTGGCTCTTCTTCAGAGACCCAAGATGAGAAACGAGAAAACCCAAATAAGGACTCGCTCCCTACAAATAGCCCATCTTCTCAACAACGTGCTCCTACCAGCCTAAGCCACCCCTACTACTGCTTTAGGGAACTTTGCGATGGACCAGGGCAACAACAGGAGTTTATCTAGGGCTATGGCTGACCCACCCACATGTGGTGAAGCTCTGAACTTCTTGTGGTCCTGTGGTATTATTGAAATGGATAATGTACACAATGCCTGAAAAGCAGATTGATAACATCATTACCTCTTTCCAAGGGAGGTCACTGCTTCAACAGCTTTGGAGCCATGAAGATTCCCTGCAAAGTCTGTATTCGTGTGTGCGTAGTACATATCCGTGTGGATGTGCTGCAGGATGTGGATGTACATATGTGTGAAGGACCTTACTCTTTGGCACAGGGTCTCTTACCGGTATTGAAGCACGCTGATTTGGCTGGCCTGCCTGGCTAGTAAACACCAGAGCCATCTTCCTGTCTGTGCCTTCTCCAACACTGGGATTTCAAGGGTGGACTGCCAGGCCCAGCTTTTTGCATGGGTCCTAGGTAGCTAAACTCAAGTCCTAATGCTTTCATAGCGAACACTTCTGACTGGGCCATCCCCGTATCTCCTCCCCCAGCCCCAAGTCTTTCAAATCTTGATGGTGCCAGAATGAGAAACTGAGGCCCAGAGAGGAAGGTGACAACAACTATGACTACAGGGAAGGGGGAGGGGACCAATCGAGAGACAGGAAGGCAGCATAGGAAATACCCAGTTTTTCCAACCTGGATTCAAGACATCCTCCATGTGGGCCTCAATTTCCAACTTCTCCTGTATTTCCTGAGTGTCACTCTGTCATGGAAAGCCTAGCCACCTGTCTGTTCAAGGCATGTTCAAGTTTGTCCCCTTACCTGTAAGCACTTCACAGTCCCCCTCCCAACAGTTCTGACGGCTGCACCACCCCAACCACGCAGATACAGACCCAGTTAAGTTTCACAAGCTCCTCCTTGCCAAAGCGTGTGCAAGTTACCCACCACCTCACACCAACTTAGCGTGTCTCTTTACACACTTGCCCTGTGCCTTGTTCTCCTCCATATCCTCCCCAGGGCCCACACACAGTCATGCAACAACTATCAGGCTTCGATAAATATTATGACTGATGAGCAGGTGGGTGGATGGAAGTGGGGAAGCAGGAGCTGGCGACGAGGCTCCTGCAGGGTGTCTGTGTCTTTAGGGTGCTCCGATATTCTGCACGCACAGCAGAATTGCCTACTCGACTCCCTCAGAAGTCACCTCCCTTGGCCTGCACCACTTCACAGGCTGACTCACTCTGGTTGCTCTTCCCGTCTTCGGAGGAAATTCCTAGCGCTGCACACTCCACAAAAGTAGAGACTTGGCAGGGCAAGCAGCATGCTGGGAAAAGGAGGTTCCGGGCTCAGAAGTGGCGGGATTTTTTGTTTCCGTCCAGCAAATGAGTTTCATTGAGCAAGGATATGGTGGAGAATAGTGGAGGCGGGGGGGGGGGGGGCACGACAACGACAGGACAAGGGAGGAAAGGGGGTTACCCTCGGGCTGGAAGTGTGGAAGCTAAGCAATTTTGTCTTGGGCGTTGGATACAGCCATTCCTGAAACAGCTGGCTATGGGTTCTTTATCACACGGTGGGCCCAGACTTTCTTAGACAATCTGTAACTCAGTCAACTGGGATCTTGGTTAACTCACTTTATGTCTCTGAACCTCAATATTCTGGTCTGGAAAACGGAATCGGAACGGTGAGTCCTCCCTTCCTCCCTCCAGGGTTAACTCTACGGATTGGAAAATAAAATAGATGATTCTGCACACCCCATGGAAGTGACCTGATACCTTTGGCCTTGTGTTTCCTCTCAAGCTGGAGTAGGCTACTTCAAAGGCCCCCACATGGGCCCATTGGTCCAGCTAAGGACAAGGGGCCTAAAGATAGACACCGTTTCATCTGAACTTAGCTAATGACTAAGCTCACCAGCTTTTCCTTCCCCCAAAGCTCTGGGTCTATTAAAAACTGGCTCAGATGACTCCCACCAGCAGAACCGAGGTGAAGCCTTCACCAAAGGCTTCCAGGGATGCGCTGGCTTCCCTTCCAGCTTCCTTTTCAGGCAACTCTGCCCACTCAGCGGTTCCTAATGCAAAAAGAATGGGCTCCGTAGAGCCTGCCTGCTTCCTTACAGGTCACAGCTAATGTCCTGTGACAGGCCCTTGGCCCACCCTCCCCCGATGGTCTGGCCATCCTCGAAGCCTGATCCATCCCTCTCCAGGACCATTAACAAAGCGGGTTTGGGGCCACCCTGGCTTCTAGGAATCTGGAGTCCCAGCGCTAGCCATAGGGCCTAGGCAGAAAAGGACGAGCGCCCCTTCAAGGAGGGCAGGAGTGGGGTCCCGACCCGGCCAAAGCTGGTGTACCCACCTTCTGCTCGACGCCCTGCAGGCTCTGGCCCAGCTCGTCCCTCTCACGGGAGAAGTCCTGGTGGCCGCGCCGAACCTGCTGGACCTCCTCCAGGACATGATGGACATACCAACCAGAGAAGGCGGCCGCCGCCACCAGGGTGAGGTAGAAGAGAAAGTTGAGCAGCCGGCCAAGCCTGCGCGAGCAGGACGCCGAGGACGCGGCGGCGGCGGCGGTGGAGGAGGCTGCCGAAGACCGGCCGCGGTGGCCGCCCCGGTGCGCCTGATTCTGCGGGTGCTGCTGCGGCGGGTGCGGCG